TATATATATCTGTCTCTCTTTCTCTCTCTGTCTCTCTCTCTTTCTCTCTCTCTCTCTCACTCTCTCTCTTTCTTTCTCAATCTCTCTCTCTTTCTCTATCTCTCTCTCTCTCTCTCTCTCTCTCTTTCTCTCTCTCTCTGACCCGTCCCTCAGCCCCCTCTCTCTTCCTCCCTCTCCTACTCTTCCACTCTCCCTGTCTGCCCCTTTCTATCTCTATCCTCCTTGGCGTTTCCTCCCCCTCTTTCCCCTGCCCACCTATATTTTCCTGTGAGTCGTCAAGGCCTGTGGGTGGTTGGCAGTTGCTCTAGTGTAGTTTGCTTCTTCTTTCCTATCAAACATCTTTACATCTCTCGTCCTTGTCTCCCCTTCTTTTTATGTTTGTTACTCTCTTGTAACACCTCTAATCTTCTGGCGCTCACATGACCTAATGCAGTTGCGAGCGCCGTAAAACCTCTACTAAAACAAAGGCGTATGTATTACTCTTGGCATGAGCTTAGTCCGGCAATATTCATTATTGATGCGCACTATCAACTCTATACTGCCCCTGTGCTGGGTGGTTGGCGGGTGCTTTGGTGTTGTTTGCTCCTTTTTCCCCCTTTATTTAACGTCTACTACCCTTATCTGTGACGTCACTACGCTATCCCAGAATTACCTAGTTCTATCTGCTCAGTTCCTAGTTTTGAGAAATTTGATGTTAAAAAAATTTTGAGTCTCACATCATGTCGAAATTTTGTTCATGTGACCTTATGCAGTTGCGAGTGCCGTAAAACCTCTACTAAAACTGAAAACTGAAAGCAATTCTTTGAATGTATTGATAACAACCCCGAATAATCTTACGATTTTGATAGAGCAGATAAACCATTGGTTTCCGACCTCATGGTCTTAAGTACTGAGACAACTAAAAATGTCAGAGTGGGTGGTTGGCGGGTGCTCTGGTGTGGTTTGCTTCTTCTTTCCGATCTAACATCTATCGTCCTTATCTCCCCTTCTTCTTTTTTATGTTTGTTATTCTCTTGTAACACCTCTAATCTTTTGGCGCTCATATGACTTTGTGCAGTTGCAAGCGCCGTAAAACCTCTACTAAAACTAAACTAAAAATGTCAGATGGAACTGGGTAATTGCAAGGTGGCGACTTGTTACTGAGTCCCCGTAACTAGGGCTGGGCAATGAGTCTCTTTAGCAAAATCCGAATAACATGTTAGTGCACCTTTTCGGTAAATAATATGTTATGAACCGATCCGGCAAATGGGTTGGAACCACTTTGACAAACGGGTTAGCATCATTTCAACGAATGGGTGCCCCCACTTCGGCAAACGGGTCAGGAAAGAGAGTAAAGAGTCTGAATTCGGATTTATATGTACTTATTGAGGATTATCCGATTTTCCGGATATTGACCACCTCTACCCGAAACGGCAGAATTGTCACCAGAGTTTTGAGGTAGATAGCTTTGCCTTCTCTTTTTTACTTGTGATTGTTTGGATGACCTTTAATTTAATTTTATTGAAATGATCAGTGACACATAAATAGCTTCAAAATCTGGTCGGTGGGTGGTTGGTGCGTGCTCTGGTGTGGTTTGCTCCTTCTTTTCTTCCAAACATTTGTCATTCTGATCTCTCCTCCCTTTTTTGTGTTTGTTACTCTCTTTAGTTTTAGTAAGAGTTTGACGGCACTTGCAACACAATAAGGTCATATTAGTGCCGTTGTTACTCTCTTGTAACACCTCTAATCTTCGGCACTTATATGACCTTTTGTAATGCAAGTGCCGTAAAACTCTTACTAAAACTAAACAATCTGGTCTCTGTATGCGGGGAGAGTGGGTGAAGGGGCATGTGTCCCGCCGCTTAGGACAGCAGGGGGGGGGGGGCGTGATAGGTGACAAAAGCTAAATAAATATATTATTTAAATTCTCAAATACATGTCGTAATAACAGATCAACTTATTGTTATCCATAACTCTCTTTGCTTTCTCTTACTGTTGAAATATCATCGTATTGCTTACGTCGTTTCTAATAGCCTATGATGTTTGTCTGATACCATAAAG